ATGGGTGCTAAGCGTTTTAAACCATTGCCTCGGGGCTTGTTTAAGTCCATATAATGTTTTGTGTAATTTGCATACATAGTTGGGATTAATGGTATCCTCAAATCCGTTTGGTTGCTTTATATAGACTTCTTCATCAAGATCACCATGTAAGAATGCATTGACTACATCTAATTGATGTATAGGCCACTGTTTTGATAGAGCTATTGTTATCAATGCTCTAATCGTAGGAAATTTAGCCACAGGGCTAAATGTATCTTGATAATTGATCCCATATTATTGATTGTTCCCTTGTGCTACTAGCCTAGCTTTGAATCTTGCCACTGATCCATCCGAATGCCATTTCGTTTTATATGTCCACTTGCAGCCCAAAACCGGTGCATTTGCTGGATATGGAACTAAATGCCACATGCCCTGTTTCTGCAATGCCATAAATTCTTCAGCCATAGCCTTACGCCAGTGAGCATGCTTAACTGCTTATGTGTAATTAACTTGTAGGATCACCTTCACTAGATTTTGCTTCATCAGTGTGAGTGTGAAGCAAGTTAAGTATTTGTTTTGGACGGAGTGATCCCTTCTTTTACCTTGTGATCATTGGATGTATAGATCTTGCACGATTTTGTTGATTTACTGAAGATGCATCTTCTGAAGCTCTGTGAGGTGATTGAGGAGGGGAGTTTGATGTATGATTCATAGGAACAAAAGAGTTATGAGGGGTATATGATTTTACTGTAGGGTGTATGATATTATTTTCAGTGGGTATGTGTGATGAGGGAAGTAGAAGACCAGGTGGGGATTGGGTTGGTGATGTATCTGAGGGTTCATTTGTTATGATTGTTTTGAATGGAAAATTGGTTTCATCAAAGATGACATGTCTAGATGTATATGTTTTGCAAGTGATTGGATCATAACATTTGTACCCTTTTGATATGGATGAATAGCCAATGAAAACACAAGAAATGGATTTTGGTTCAAGTTTGTGTCTTTTATTTGGTGGCTGTAATGGGAAACAGAAACACCCAAACGTTTTTAATGTTGAGTAATCGGGCGTAATGTTGTATAGATATTGCAACGGAGATATATTATTTGTAATTTTTTATGGTAATCGGTTAATCTGAAAAGATGCAGTGACAACTGCTTCAAGCCAAAAACTGAGAGGTAAAGATGCCGAATGCAATAGAGTTCTGGTGGTCTCAATCAAATGCCTGTGTATCCTCTCGGCCACATCATTTTGTTCTGGTGTGTAGGGACATGAGGTCAGATGTTGTATGCCATGTCTAATGAGAAAATCATTCATGTGTGAGTTAAAATATTCGGTTCCACCGTCAGATCTCAGGCATTGTATTTTATGCTGAAGCTGATTTTCAATCAAATTTTTAAATTTTATAAAGAGCTGTGTAACTTCAGATTTTTGTGTCATTGGGAATACCCATGTGAACCGAGAAAAATCATCTTGAAAACAATATAGTATTTGAATCCATGACTTGATAGAACCGGGGATGGTCCCCACACATCGGAGTGGATTAAAGCAAGAGGTCTAGAAGATCTAGTTTCTGACTTAGAGAAAGGCAGTTTGTGAGTTTTAGACAGAACACAGTCCTGACACAACACTTGAGAGGTGGGTATTTGAAGATGCTTGTGATGAGTTGAGATAAGCTTGAGAACATGATGATGAGGATGTCCAAGCCTTTTACGCTAGAGAGAGTGGGATTGATGCATTGCAGTGAGAGCAACTATATTCTGGGCTGATACAGGATACAAGCCTTTAGAGCTTGGTCCCTTGAGAAGAACATGATGTGTCTTCAAATCCTTGATTACAAAACCATGAGCATCAAATGATATTGAAATGTTGTTATCTTTTGTGAGAGCAGATATCAATAGTAGATTGTACGAAATTTGAGGAATATGAAGTATCTGAGATAACCGAAGCTTACTGTTGGGAGTAGGTAGGATGCCGGATCCAGCGTGAGCTATGGGAATGCTTCTGCCATCACCAATCGTTACATTGTCTATTCCCATGTACGATCTTGGTTGATTTAGATTGTCCAATGAGTTTGTCAAGTGAGATGATGCTCCTGAATCTAGATACCAATCTGGATTATTCTGATCAGTTGCCATTACCATTGCTTTTTGCGTTGATTGCTGTTTCTGATCGTAAGATTGAGGGCTGTAATCAGGATTCAGTCTATGACAGCATTCTGTAGCAGTATGTCCTCTTTTATTACATATTTGGAATGTGGGAAGATTGTTAGACCCTGTTCTTGAACCGGATTGCGTAGATCTTCCTCTGCCCGACGGCCTCTTCCTCTGTATGAATACAGTGCAGTCCCTGTTTCTTCCATTGACAGATTCTTCAATGATTCTATTTGAATGTGAATTTCTTCACTGAGAAGAAGTGAATATAAGTCATCAAGACTTATGGGATGTAACATGGTTCTGATTGACGTTTTAAATGCCTGGTATGCTGGTGGAAGACCATTGATCGTATACATAAGAATGTCTTCATCTTCTATGGTGGATCCTGCAGCTGTTATCTGATCAACAATAGTCTTGATCTCTATGAGATACTGGGTCATCGTCTGTGTTTTCATCATTAAATTGTGCAGCTCATTTTTGAGCTGTATTACCCGAGATCTGTTTGTTGATTGCAGTCTTCTTTCTATGACGCTCCAGATCGCTGAACAAGATTCTAGATTAATCACGTATGGCAGAATTGACGCTGATATTGTGGAACAAATTGATGCAGCAAGATTTTGATCAATCAATATCCATTCTGCGTATTGTGGATTTGCTACGATTCTGCCTTCATCTGTCTGCATATTTTTCTCCGGTGGACACGCATTTGGAAGAAAAAATTGTAGAAACCCATTTGCCTTGAGTAGTTTGAGGATTTGTGATTTCTAGATTGCGTAATTCTCACTCGTCAATTGAGTATGTACCAAATTTTGAATACTGGAGATCACGAACTTGAGTGAAGCAGGGATTGTGATCCTTCTGTCATGGCTTCTGTTGGTTCGCCAATCTGAGACGAAACTGAGGATTACGCCATTAATAGCATGGCTCTGATACCATGAAGAGATATTCAGATAATTCTTGTATTCATGTGTGAGATTACAAGACTAGTATTTATAGACATTTTACAAAACTATCTAGAATTCCAAGAAATGAGCTGGCATTCGTTTGTTATAACTGTTGCTGAGCTGTCCTTCAAGCTGGTTGAGGTGAACTGTTTTCAGCCAGTATTTTTGTTACTGTCTTTAATGACCCTAGCATTGAGTGTATTAACTCCAATAAATGATGCTCATGGAGTCATAATTTTTTTTTGGGATATTATAGGTTATAAAAATTATATTGACTTTGGCAAAACATGTGTCATCTAAATATGTTTAATGAATGATTATGCTTTGTTTCCTTCTATAATTGATGCAAATTATGGAGAAAAAAAAAAGTCTCAAACAAATTATGGAGCTTGGTTCTATTTCAAAATGGATATCTTGAAAAAATTTATAAGAATCTCTAATAAAATAAGAGAAGAAATTAAGGTAAATGGAAGCATGTCATCATTGATGCAAATTTCAAAGTCTAGTTTTCCTATTCCTCTTAAATAAGCATTCATAGGATGTTCTCAAATATAAGAATTGGCTTTTATTCTCTGAAATTTCCCTACTATGTTTGTCAGTTGGTGAACAGCTGGCTTTGCTAATGTTGGTAGAGTTGCTACCCTATTATGCAGTATACTTTAGCATTTTTGGATTCTTTGGCTGCTACCCTTTTATGCAGTTTAATCTTGGCATTTCTGGCTATTGCAATAGTTGGTTAGGCAATGTATTGGCCATTTATTCTGCTGTCATTGTTAAATAAGTTCAGTGAGATTATTCGGTTGGATGTGGTCCTCATTGAGTGCTTCACAATCTTCGTATCTTGTAGGATATGCTGCTTATGTTTCTTCTTGGAATTCTCAGTTCGACAATGTCGTCAGCTATGAGCAGTTCTGTGGAGGAACTATCCTCTCTACGTGGATTTTGAAACAAAAATTGATTTAAAATTAATAGTTAACTCTTTATTTTTAGGTTTTTAATTGCAAAGTAGGGACAATTTGCCATTATAAGAATTGATCCGATGTATGCTAAGTAAATAAATCCGTAATTTTTTAAATAAAATTTGTTATTGTATGTGCAATTCATTCTAATTCTTTTTTATATAAGTTGGATCTTGATGATTTATGGAAGATAATATCCATGTAGAAGAGGGGGGGGGGGGGGGGGGGGGGATATTTTTTTCTTTTTTTGAAGAGAGGACTTGGTAATCTCTTTCTCATTTGTTTTATTTATGATCTGTATATATTGATTTGACTAGTGTGTTTATAGATAAATGATGAAAATTGATAAAATCCTCATCTATGGAACATCTATTTTTATGCTTCTCTTTTAATAGCTAGCATTTAGCACTATTAAGCATTGCAAGTCTAACCACCATCTTATAGAATTTTCCCTTAAGTTTGAGGCGAATCTTTCTATTACATAAGAGGCCCTTCGCATTCATCCACTTCAACCATCCATATTGAATTTTACAAATAATATCCCTATCTACTTCACTACCACTTTAAACAATAGAACCACGATATCTAAAATGTGTACACTTATTAATGACTTGATCGCCTAAAGTCAAAATCCTCCTAGTAGAACTATTAGTACTAAAATTACACTCAATGTATTTGGTTTTAGATCTATTTGAATGAAAACCTTTAGAATCTAAGGTTGACCTCCATAATTCTAATTTTTCTTCAACTCCCTCTCTATTCTTATCAACAAGGACAATACCATAAGCAAAAAGAATACACCAGGGTACATGTTGCAAATGTCTAGTAAGAACATCCATGACTAAAACAAAAAGATATGGGTCGGAATTATTAATTTTTTTCCAATTAGTATCATGAAAATAAGGAAAAATAAACAAAATGAGAATGCTTGAGTATATGAAGGTGAATGAGAATTTGGGTATACCTTTTATCCTTCCAAACACTACTATAAAGAAATTTGGGAAGAACTAGAGATGCATTGAGCATTGCAGCAATAGCAACGGCATTACAGACCTGCAAAAATAATAAATTTATAAAATAAATTGTATGGTGAATACTATATGAATGATGTGTGATATATATATATATATATATATATTATAATTTATCAACCATCTACCTCATCTGGAAAGACTGGCCAACTTCTAGTTTATGAAGGTTATCACTCTCAATTTAAAATACACCTCAAGTCAACTTTACCCATCTCGTAAACATTCAATAATCCCTAGCAATTTCGGAACTTGGAAAACAAAAAAGCTTTATAAGTACTTCTCAAGTTCAAATCAAGGATTATTACATCTCATAATGCTTCCCTGTATAAGCGTAAACAGATAAGAAAGCTCAACACAGGGACAGTACTAAAAAATGGACTATGAAATAAGAGAAAAGTATTCAACACAGGCCAGAATCAGGCTGATTTTCATTTGGTTGATGCTGCTCCATATTTTCCCTGATTTCATGGTCCGTTTTGTTATTTTTTTCTGCTCCTTTAACTCTCAAGTTAGGTTTCTGATGAGGACATCAGGCCTTGGAGAGTCTACCAGAGGCAGGGTTGATGATCTACGGCCACGATCACACCGATTTACTTTTGATTATTATTGTATTAGTTTTATTATTGAATTATGTTTCATGAGTTTATTGTATTTTTTTCCATTTATGCCCTCGCTTAAGGGCCTAATCCTATGTATGCCCTAAGGGCAATTGAGTCTTTTGTATTTTCTTTGTTGTTTTGGGCTATTTAAAGCCTTCCCTTCCATCTTTGAGGGCTAAAGAATGTTATGATGAAAATTTTTGCATCCATGTGTTTGGAGAGAGCATAAGAGTTCTTGGAGAGATTGAAGTTCCTAGGTGAGGTCATTGTAATACCCACCAACCACAGGAAGTGTCTAGGCTCATGGTCGTCGTCGCTCCCCCTCCCTCCCTTTCCCTCCCCACCGTCGGCCAAAGCCCATCCTCCCCCTCTCGGCCAAGGTTTAAAATTGCGTAAATAAGCATCGAGGCATTTTTTTGTCCGTGATGCGAGGCGTAAGCCTCATGGACGAAGAATTGCAAAAATGAGAATTTAAGGGTTTTAGCAGGTAAATAACAGTAAGAGTCTATCATACAATAAAAATATCTGAATGACAAGTGAAATTAGTGAAGAATAATAAATTAGATGCAATATATGCATCTCATAGTATAATTTAAAGTACAAAATCACAAAATATCAGTCTATCAAAATGCCCAAAATACAAATAAGAAAGAACATATAAAATCCAATCATGTACCATCACTAAATAGGTCTTCAAGGGAATCTTATTTTCCAATTGCATCTATGAATGTCATATCTTTATCATCTTCAATGTTACTGAGTTTTCTCTTCCCTGTTCAATAAGAATGATTATTGTCATGTTAATTGCCCACGTCTTATATATATATATATCATAAGAAGTTGTGAAATACCTTTATTTGCTTGTTGTGCTGCAAAACTAGTGGATGTGTGTGGTGTGGTACTAGTGGATATGCCCACTAGATCTGCTTCGCCCCTCAAGACATTCACGCTTAGATCCTCTAACTGCAGATTTGATAATGACAAATCTGTCTCATCGTCTATGAACCACTTATTATCAGATGCCACATCATCACACACTAACGGGTCCTCATCATCCTTCAACCCCTTGTTCCTCAACCTCCTATCTTTCAACCACTTGTTGTGCATAATTTACATAATGGAGTTCATTCTGAGTGTATAAAGTCGATTTCTTCTCTTTGTTTGTACTTGACTATATGTATTCCAATTTCGCTCACACCCAGAGGAATAACAAGAGAGTCTCGGCAGAAACCGCCCACCATCCCTCTCCTAGCCACCGACCACCCATAAACCCAACCAACCACCCTTCTCCCAACCCTAACCGCCAGCCCATATCAAAACCCTAACCTAGTATAGCCATCGGCCATAGCTCTTCCCCCTTGCCTCCAAAATTCAAAACCTCCCATTAATACTTTCCTTTCTCCACCCAACCACATTTGGAAAGCATTGATTTCAATTATTCAACCAATTTTGAATTTTGAAATATTTCCTAGAATAGAACTCTATTTTAGGAAAGTTCCCAAAATCATTCCTATTTGAATTTTAAATTAGATTGGAATTAAATTAATCCTTCCTAATTTAAGATTCTAAATCAAATAAACCTTGATTTCTTTCCCACAAGCCCTCCCCCCCCCCTCTTGAAGCTGTCGGCCCCCTCTCCCCATATATCTCTCTCTCCCCACATTAACTCCCCTCCTCAACACCTAAATCAAGTCTCTCAATTAGGAATAATTTTCCTTTCCCTCTCCTTGGTTGGAATTCAAATTTCAAACCCTAATCCCTCTTTTATTCAAATTTGAAATTCAATTTCAAATTTTTGAAAGAGGCTTTCCCTCCTAATATTGGCCGACCACCTACCTCCTCTCTCGACCATTGTCTTTGACTTGATACTTCTCCTAAGGAAGAGATAAGAGATCACACCACTTTCCCTCCCAGACCTTACAAACTTTTCTACCAATGCATGACAGATTCAGAACGTGACCATGGATTCATTTTCGACGACCAAGGCCACGTCGACATCCTCAACTTCCCTTTCTTCGACCTCAACCTCGAGGTTGACCAAACCGTGGAGGATTACGAGGAGAGGATCATCTTCAACCTCGTTGAATCTATTGAGGAGTAACTTTCTTTTGCCCAATGGCAGATTGTCTCCAAATCCTAAGCAAGGTGAATCTTTCCCCTAATCTTTTCCTATTTGACTCTTACCCCCATTTACGGTTTTAATTGATTCACTATGATCATGTTAAACCTCTCTGCTAAGCCTAGTAAATTAGAAGTGAGTGAAGGACTCTTCATAGTAAATAATCTCATTGTTAGCATAGAGATTTCTTGTTAGAAATCTTTCATGTATGTTATGTTTTGAATTATTAATTATTTTGAGATCCTAACCTTTAATCGTGTGACTTTTCCTAAGCTTGTCTCAGCCCTTTCTTGTTTTATTTCATCGTATAATCACTACAAGTATTTTAGTTAATAAAGCTCTCTAAATTAAATTGTGCAAGATTCTTTTCAAGCATTGCTTAGGCATTTTAGTACTGCATCAGTTTCTCTGGGACTCATCTGCCTAGTGGAGTATGTGGAGAAGAGAAATTCAAGTTCCAAACAACAGGCCAATCATCCACGCAAATGTTGTAGTGGTAGAATGGGAGAGGCATTATGGTATGAAAGTATTAGGATTAGTGCAGATAGCTAAAAAACATTTTGGTATAGAAATATCAAGTGGTTGAACTTCACCCATATGTTTAAGCTTTTTGATTGAAAATGAATTTGATAATTGTTGCTTCTACCCCACTTTGATCCTCTTTGATTCATACTCCATATATGAGGCACTGCCACAACTAATTTTTGGAGAAGTTGAGAGGGAATTCATCTGATACTCAAAGCAGAATTTTTTTTCATAAAAGCACAATAAATAGAATTGAAAGGTTGCAAGAGTAAAAACTTTCCATTAAATGCTAAAATTCCAAAGTTTCTTCAAAGGTGGTTTGAAATTTTATCACTCTATGAAATTAAAATTTAAATAAGATATACAACTCTACATTATATCATATGTTCTGCAAATTCTAGGTTCTAAGGTAATGAACTACTCAAGTAATTGGTGATTTGATCTCAAGCATCCACATTGCTAAATGATTGGAAGCATAGAGGATTCAAACATAAGAATCACATAATTAGGCAAAAAATCTTGATAAAAGTATTCATCATTGCATGTTTAGATTGCTCATCAGTATAGATAGTTCACATTTATGCTTTCCAATATCTAAATTGCAAGCATCAAAGAGCTACTTATGATGTCATACATCCATCACTTTTTCAAAGCATAAAAAAGGTGAGAAATATGCTTGTTTTAGAATCTTACAGCGACGCGTTGCTGGTTTAGACCACCATTTGCACTTACTAAGATAAATCCAGAGCCGTTCATGACATTTTCTGCAGCAAAACTTCACCAATTATTGCTTGACTGCAACAATGAAAAAAAAACTGGAATGCTTCTGTAAATAGTTGCATGATGCAAAATTTAGGCCAGCATCCAACCCAACAAAAAACAAAAGGAAAAAACAATATCACTTTTTGCTCATCAGTTATTGTGTTTTTTTTAGCTTTGCTACAATATGTGAAATGCTGTGAATGTAGAAGTATGGAAGATATTATTTTTAGGCTCTAGATTCTATATACTAAGCTTACAAGTTTTTGGATGCCAGCTATGTTAAAATTAGCACCATGACTATATTACAGGTTGATGAACATTTTCAAGTGTTTATATTAATAACAATGAAAACTAAAATTTTAAAATGCTAGCACTGCTTAGAGACATTGAAGTTCTAACTAATTTTGTAAAGTGCAATGAAAATAAATAAAGAAACAAAATAAGAAATTTACATTATATATAGGGTATCTGAAACAGCCTTGAGAAGTCATTATTTTCTTTTTTATCATAGTTGTTCACCTTGATGGACAGCACTGCTAGATTTATCTGCACATGGTTTCCATGATGATGCTTGCTCGTAGGGTTCCTTCCATTGTGAAAATGGATCCGCTTGTAATTCATTCTATTTCATGAAAAGTTATTGATACAAGTGCATGCATAAGTCAGGAAATACCCAAATACAATGTAAATACACAACTTTCTGTTCAATAGTGAAGCAAACCTTTGCCAATGCAGAATGGGCCAAATTTATAAGGCGTTCATACATCAGCTTTTCAGTATTTTCTACATTAATATCATATCCGCTCCCTCCATCCTACAACAAATTATTGAAAAGATAGAAAATGCATCAATAATGCTGGATATAAATAACCCTCATACTGCTTTGCTATTGTTATGTCAATGAGGGTTTGCACAATCATCATACAAAGTAAACATGTTTGTTATAAGGGCAATTACATACATAACACTAAAGTCATGGCTATTTACAAAATTATATTATTTCCACCTCAACTTTTGAAATTGACAATCAAATATTGAAATTCACAATAAAACCCCAAACCATATTTTTCACTTTTGTCAAATTCCCAACCGTTTGATTGTGCCACATTCAAATGCATGAATTTGATAATTGAAGAAAATAATATGGGTGTTAGACTTGCAAATAACCAAATTTTAAGTGTTGTGTATGCAATTCCCCCTTGTTATTAAACCAAATATAAATAAAGAACAAATGAATCATAGGTGTTAGAACCAACACTAAATGATTGAAACCTCATTCAAATGGCATATGGCTCATTTGGATAAAATCATAAAGTTTATAGGTTCCAAGAATCATTATCTACAATACAAGAGGGGACTAAAAAAGTTAAATTAGTTATTAAGTCATGAGTACTCACAATCATATAATGCATTTCAATGCTGCAAATTATATCAAAAGATTATTTTAATAAAACTATTACGTATAAGAAAGTTATATTACAGTAAATTACTTCACAACCCACACCTGCATTTGCCATTCTTTGCTGCGGAAGTGACCATTGCGAAAACTGATGTGATGAACTACAGTAAGCATCACAGAATCAAGAAGGAAGAACGAACCCATTAGCCCAAAAACAAAACCCACCATTCTCAACTGCTTGCATATCCATGCCCTCCTCTTACCCCAAGCTGCTGTTTTTGAGGGCTTCAAAACCTGATAACTCTTCCTCGTCAGCAATTGCACACCCAAATACTGCCCTTCCTTTCTCATTAAAGAATGCTAGTCTCTCACAATAAGGCCCCGATATAGATAGCAGAACACCCGCAACCCATAAAACAGAATAGTTTTTTCTGCTGTGTTTTAATCCCAGTCGCCAACAACTGATCGGATCCTTTTGGGAGAGATACATTCGTGAAGCCGACCTACCCATCCACCTGATTGAAAATAATCGTTAGTTGAAAAAAAGAATTGCGATTTGAAGAGAGAGAAGATAAATATTGCTTATTTTGAGAATAAGAAAAGAGAAGTGGAGAAGAAGGAATGGAGCAGGTGAGCAAAGCTTAAGATACAAGCAAGAGAAAGAAACTGACCTAGCAGCGGTTTGAGAAAGGGATGGAACTCCCGCAAAAAGGTTAGTGATCAACGCAAGGGTGTTCCGGAACTCCCTTGATTCGCCCATTAAGTAAGAATGGTTGTGATGGGGTGTGTTGACGGAGCTTTTGAGGGAGGGAGGGAGAGAGAGAGTGGTGGCGACAATGAAAGCAGGATGCAGAATCTCGATTGTGCTCTGAAATCCAAAAGCTTGGCCGGAAGACCGGAGAACATACCGGAGATTTTTTTAGGAGAAATTTTATAATTCAATTAAAATATTACTGTCCCAAAAAAAAAATTAAAATATTACCCATGACATTCGTTGATTCAATTTTATAATTAAGATATCATCTACTGAATAATAATTACCCTAATTGTTAATGTTGATTTAATTTTTTAATTATTAATTTATAATTACTCTTTAGATATCTAATTTTCATGTTAATGCATGACTAATGAAATTGCCTATGATCTTAAAAATTAATTATGCTCAATATTGAGGTTGCTTTAATATCATTATTACAGAACTAATTGTGCTATTTATTTTAATAATTATTTTGAATCAGAATGGAACTATACTAACAATAATAAGAATAGATTAAACTAGAGAGCTTTGAGCATAAAAAGAACCAAACTAGGCTTTGCCTATTTTAATTACAAAGACAGCTTCATAGGAAGTTTTATTAGGTCCGGTGTAAGGACGTAGATGAACGTCCGGTAGGAGTCAAAATCCCCTCAAAAAACTCGGTATTTGTTCGGTATTACTAGGTATTATTTGATAATAACGAGGAATATCGCTCTGGGAAGACCAATACCGAGTTATACCGAGCTATACCGAGCAATACCGAGTTGTACCAAGTTTTTTCTAGGAAAAACTCGGTACAACTTTTGTATAACTCGGAATTGCTCGGTATAACTCGGTATAACTCAGTATTGGGTCTTCACGTGATGGTATTCCTCATTATTGTTTGGTATTGCTCGGTATTTCTCGTTTTTTGGCGCGATTTGGCCTCCGACCGGACGTTCCTCTACGTCTGGTCGGAGGACTAGAGTTCCACTGGAGTAGCGATTCCATCTTAAGTTGCTGACTGACTTCATCATGGCTTGGCATTTTTATGGCGAGTTGTTTCGAATGAGTTGCTTTAGAGATTTTGCTTAGCTATCCTTAGGCTTCGTTTGGGGTGGCTTTGTTACTACTTATTAAAGTAGTTTTTTAGTATAAATATTTTTATTTTTTATTAAAAAATTATTTTAAGAAGCAATGAAAAAACCGTACCAAACGAAGCCTTACTATTGTGTATTCTATATGAGTTTTATCGGTTAGATATAAGATTCTTGACAACTTCCTTTAGAAAGTCTAGGATTGAGCATACTCATTTTCATGGCTTTGAAGAGTTAATCGTGGCAACTTCAGCAAGTTGACATTTTCATCTATAGCTAGCTAAGATTGAACATGATATGTTGATGCAAACTAAATTGAATTGAACTGGATCAAAGTGATATTTGAATGTACATTTAGTTCTATAATTTTATTGTCTTTTTAAAGATATCACAGAAGAACAAGTGACTAAAATATTTCACAGTTGAAACGGTTAACCATGATCAAACTACATGATTATAAGGATCAAATTGTGTATGACACACTTAAGGATGTGATAAGAAGGTTCAATCTAATCTAATGATTTAATTTAACTGAATCAATCCAATAATTAATATGAATGAAATCCCTTTAATGTAGTAACTTTAGATAATTTGCCTAATTTGATAAATAAGGTTCATTCAATGATCAATTGAACTTAGCATAAAAAAAAATGATTAAGAATGATTAATCCCATCATTTAAATAATTAATAATGAATTGAATAAATGGACTCAAAGGATTATTAATGGTCTACTATGATAATTTTGTTAGTTAGAAATAATAAACCAACCTAATGGTCAATTATTTGTTTACATATGATAATTCTCTAAAATATCCAGTCTCATTGATTGTAATCAATTTGATCAACTTGAGTTAATTAAAGTGATTGGATCCTTAAAGGATAATTTATTTGGTTTTGGTCCTATTGGATCAAGGTATTCAACTCAACAAAGTTTTCTTTTTTTTTTGTTGGCCCATAAGTCAAGGTAATCTTTCTAAGGTTTAAAAAAATTCAGACCTAGTAGGGTTCGCTTGAGTCAAGTTAGGGTTTATGGGGACCAAGCCTATTGCAACTGTCAAATGAGTTCTATGGTTCAAAATTATTAGAAGAAGTTTGTCTAAGTGATAGGATCACTTGTTAGAAGATTAACATATGTTTCTAAAAGGTTTAAGGTATATTTGAATATCCAATTTTTGTTTGGCCATTGGCAAAACTTGTGCCCAAAAACTTCTGAAAATTCTCAAAATAAAATATATTAATTGATTTAATGAGAAGAAGATGTTACTTTGATCACAATTGCATCTATAAAGAGAAATAAGGGTTAATTAAGAAAGAGATTTACCTTAATGAGAGGAAAAAAATTAATATAGGGATTCCTCCAATAATCATTTCTAATCAAGAGATCTTATAATCATTCTAATGCCTTTTTTCAATCTAGCCTATTCAAAATCTAAAAGTAGAATTTTGAGCTTATTGAACTACAATTGACCTTATTGGTTGATCTATGATTATAGGAATGGAAATTATGGAGGAAGAATGCTTTGAAAATCTAGGAGAGTGCTAAGTATTCTAAAGAGTTTGATAAATTCAAACTTCTTGGGTTAGTCTAGAGAATTTGAACCATAATTTTAATGCTTGATGTTTTATATGTCAATATTGGTTCAACTTGAACTTGAGTTAAAAGGACTAAAATGGGCATATAGGCTAAGCTTTCATAACCATTATGGTGAGGGATATATTAAAACATAATTATTTAACCAATTAACAAATATGCAATGTTATTTGGATCATGTCAAGTCATATAACCATAATGGGTTATCCCAGGCTTAGCTTAGGTTTACCTTGTTGAGCTGTAGATGTAATTACCTAAAGATATAAAAAGTAAAAAAAAAACACTCCTAAATTACGTCATTTGCTTAACATCACAACGATGCCAGAAATTGCAACTCTAGTGTTTACTTTTTTGTAATATAGTAATTTTGAATTTAGGTGGCAGCACTACAATGCTGGGGGTGGCACTACGATGCTCCATATTGCGGATCTATTTTCATGGATTAGAATTTTGATGATAGCAAATATTCATGATTTTCTACGACTGTCTTGCCTACTAACTTTCCAGGTCCACAAGACCGAGTGCAACTCAAGCCAGCTCAAGATTTGGTAGATTAAGTCTGAGTCAATTTGTATTTTTCCCATATCTTGAGTCTATTATAAATAATGTGGTTCCTGATGCTAAGTAATCTTGCACACACACACACCTTAGGAGATTTTCTGACTGTTTTCTAGAGTTTACTATTTTTGGTAACATCGTAGAGAATGATATTTATATCGGCCTGGACGATCGGTTCAAAAATAGAAATCCTAATTAGGGTATCCTTGTTAAGGCAGCCTTCATTAAGCACATCATCCTGGATGATTTTTGTATCATCTAGGATGATAGGCTCAAATAAAAAAGAATCAGCCACCAGATCTATTTAGGAATTACTTATTTTTGGACATCGTCTCGGGCATCGTCCCGGACATCGGCCTGGTCGATCCAGCACATTTTTTCCTAAATTAATTTGGTATTTAAGGAAAGTAATTAGGTTTTGATTACACGATCACATCATCCTGGTCGATCACAGGATCAGCCAGGATGATCCACTGGACGATTGGTTATCGGACAGCTCTTATTCAGGGTGATGTATAGGATGATATTCCATAATTTTTACTGATCAACCAGGGCAATATTATCATCTTGGATGACATGAACAAATTTATTCTGATCGTCCAAAATCATCCTGGATGATTGGGCTTAATTTACAATGATGGACCAGGATGATATACATATCGGCCTGGATGATAAAGTCGTCAAGTTATAATTAATGAGCTCATTTTGAGCTCTTCTATTTAAGATTTGACAAGGCGCTTAGTAATTATCTTTGGAAGCCATTGTAGCTTCATTCTTTTGGAGGGAACTTGAAGAGAGAGCTTGAAAGGGAGAGATGAAAGGGTAGAGTTTGCGAGAGGGAGAAGATCCTTAGAGGGGGTTTCAAGAGAGTGTGTAGGGGGATTCCACACGGTTGCTTTGGTGAGCTTGCACCTTAGTACCATCGGATTCAAGACTTATCTTGAGGGAAGTTCTGGGAAGAAAAAGATCTCTTTGGTGTCAAAGGACCCGGCTACTACGCTGCACCGGAGAAGGTGGAAGTGATTTTGTAAGGGCTTCTCCGCTTAGTTGTGTGGGCTAAAGGAGAGACACTGAGTTTAGTGCAATATGCGGAGGGTACCTTCAAGGAGTGGACGTAGGTCAAGGTTTAACCGAACCACTATAAATCTGGTGTGTTCTTTCCTTTATTATTTTAGCATTTAATTTTCGCACTTTGATTTCTGTGGTGAATATTGGTTTTGGATATGATTGTGTTTTTAGTTTTAAAATACCTATTCACCCCTTTTGGTTAGCCTTGAGCTAGTTCATAAGGGCTTAGCATCCCTAACGAGCTTTCAAGTAGTATCAAAGCAGGATTTATAAAAATGAGTTTTTGAAAACTTTTGAATTTTGAGCCATGGCTAATTTTTATAATCGTAATATTATAGAAGGTTATTCAATCACCCGACCACCTTTATTTGAAAATATTACTTTTGATTTTTAGAAAATTTGCATGTCTACTTTTTTGCATTCTATTGATTTTCGAATATGACAAATGATTTTAACTGGTTATTCTGTACCGTCACGTATTATAGAAGAAATTAAAACTGATATTCCTTTTAATCAATGGAGTAGAGAAGAATAAATCAATGCTCAATTAAATGGTAAATCATTGAACTGTTTTTTCTGTGCTTTAAATTATGAAGATTTTATGTTAGTATCCATGTGCACTACTGGTAAGGAAATTCAGAATAAATTACACACCATATATGACGGCACTAGTGAAATCAAGCAGTCTAAGTTGAATATTTTAATGCAAGATTATGAACTTTTTTACATGAAATCTTATGAGACGATCTTAGACATGTATACTAGATTTATTCAAATTGTGACATCATTGCATGCTTTAGGTAAAGAATTTTAAAACTTTAAAAAAGTCAATAAAATTCTACATTGTCTACTTAATAAGTTTGATGCC